ATGGGGGAGGGAAGGGGTGTGGGGGTGCAAATCTCTCTATGGTGAGGGAAGAAGTGGAGCAGGGGCAGGCGCTGCCCAGCCAGGGCAATGAACACAGCACCAGAGCTGGGAGCGTGATGGAGCGGCAGGGGGGTGGGGCAGCTCCTGCAACTGTGCACACGTCCCAGAGAGGCATGGGAGGGTTATGTGCCCCTCCCCAGATTTCTGCATGGGATGAGGGTGGGCTTCCTGCTGTGGGCTCAGGGCCTGCACTTACCTCTTCCCAGTTGGGGGGCTGGACTCTGAGTGGGTGGGGGCAGGGTGGGCAGCAACGGTGCTGGCAGGGGTAGCTACAGGGTGAGCTATAGCCACCCCGTCCAACGCTACTGTTGCCTACCCCACCCATTTGGAGCCCTGCCCCTCCCCGCCCCACTGGGAAGAGGCTGATGCAGCCCCTGGCCCTGAGCATGCAGCAGGCAGCCCATGCTTGCCCCGCGCACATATCTGATGAGGCACATGCCTCCCCTTGGGGGGGTGCATGCATCTGCCCCCCAGCCTCCCTTGTTCCCCAGATGAGCCACCTGCAGCTCCATCCTGCTTCGGGTGCTGGGGTCTCATTCCCCACCCTGGCTGGGTAGCCCCTGGCCCTGCCCTTGCCCCACTCCCTCCTTCACCATGGGAGCCTCAATCTATTCCCTTACCCCACCACGCTCCTTTCCTCTCACAGACTTACTGGCAGGGTGCTGCTCTTGAAGCTGCCAGGCTGCATTCCAGTAAATCAGCTGTTGAATCGGCATTGACCAATATGGCTGGTATTGGCCAAGAAAATCTTTACTGGTACACCCCTAATTGAATATGCAAATTCAACTGAAAAAGCAGAGAAATATTTTTATCGTTCCTCTGTAAATGTGTGGAACAATAATAAGTTTAAAAAACTAGGTGTTTTCAACTTTTTTTTTTGTCTAAAGTGTCTGTATTTTTTATAGTATTAAACATAATGTTATAAAGGGAAAACTAATGCCATTTGCATTGACAGACAGCTTCAATATTTTTGCTGCCTGTATAGCTTTCCTGAAGAACAGTTAAATTGATAAGTCTGTTAGTTTCAGTGCCACAATTTAGAATCCTATGAATAGTAGTAAAATTTGGTCAGGTAAACTTTGATGTTTGGGAAATATCCAGGCAGCAGAGGCAGGTGTTGGTCGTATTTGTGGAAGAGAATACGAAGAGAGGACTAGAGGAATTAGACATCTATTGAAGGCTGTAGATGAAGTCTAGAGTTGCAAATTTCAGACCCATAACAGGTCCTACTCTTAATTTCTATTTTGAAACTTGATGCAGTGTGAACATGAGTAGTATGATTGCCAGTATGCAGTTAAGTTAAAACTGTTGAACTAGATGATAGTCTTGCTGGGAACAGTGTCACTTAAATGTGGTTCATTATTAAACTGTTCACTAAAACAGATTTTATGGGACTTCTCCATGAGGAGAAAGGGCAGATCCAGTCTAGATTTTACTGGGTCTACTTTACTCTTAAACCTTGTGTGAAGGTGGTAAAATCAGTAACTAGTATGTTGATGCTATCATCAAGACCATACATTTTTACTTGGTAGGACTGTCATTTTGACACACATTTTAAAGTGCTAGTAACTTGGTAGATGTAAGAAGATGTAGTCCTGACTTTTGAAAGCTACCAATTCCAAGTCAAGAGTTGAAAGTTTGGAAACCAGGTATCTTTATTATAAAAGCAGAGTGGCTGGACTGGATTATAAAGCAATTTATTTTCTCTAGAACTGTGTGGCCACATCCACATGAGTGTGGACATTTGTTTCCCTGGGGACAAATATCAGCGGCACGCCTTGTGCCATAGCTAGTTGTCCTTGAGGAATACCTGCACCCTCTGGCGCACAGCAGGTTACCCTGGATAGGGTAGGGGAGGCTGGGGGCAGCACTGAGTTGGTCCCAGTAGCCTTACCTGGGGTCCTGGGGGCCTCCTGAGGCTGCAGCAGCAGTGATCTTGCTGGTCGGAGCCTGGCTAGCAGCCAGAGCATGATTCTGCTCAGCCAGGCTAGTTTTGAGTGGTGTGCGCTGCCCCTGCATGCACTGCTCTACTTTTTATTTTTTGCACAGATTTTGTTGACCCCTGAGTACCCCTGCCCTTGCAGTGCAGAGAACAGCTGAATGTGTGGTATGTGGTGCTGTAGACACATCTGTGGCACCACATAGCGCACAACTGCACCCATCTGGACACAGCCTGTGTATGTGAATACTTTCAGTACATCTTTGTTTGGCTATCATAATTCTGTGTACTGCTATGACGCAATAGCTGGCTTTTAATTTCTTACTGTTTTTAAGACTGATCCAGTATACTATGGTAAAACTGCAGTGGTTCCAGACATCGTGCTCATGGATGGAACAGAATTTTGCTCCTTTGGCTGGATGGTTATGTCCCCTGCCCTGAATCTTCAGTAGAACAAAGCACTTCACCTTTTTAAATATCTGTATCGTGACAGAATCATATGGCTCTTTGACCTGATACTAGACTGTACATGTGAAGTGAATTTAAATATGGCAAGGCATTGTCCTGGTGTGCAAAACACTGAGAATATATTATATTGTTATCACTTCTGTTAGCTTAAATCGAAGCTATGCAGGTACAGTAAAAAAAAAAACAACAACAACCCTAATTAGGACTTGAGCTGATGAAACTACTGTGAACAATGGAATTTCTTGCCAGTGTGCTTACAATAAGCTAAGTAGGTAGGGTATCTTGGAAGAGTTACAAGCCACAGACTTTTTAACCTGGATATAAAATACAGATCTGGCACAAGTAGAAATGAAATGCTGTGGTTTGGACAAGCTTGGATGCATGCTATTGTGGCAGTAAGTGGATTTGTTGTTCAGGCTTCGTGCTTCAGTTATTTTTTTACGGTTAAAGTATAACGAAATTAATCATAGGAAAGTTAATGGAGGGGGCAGTAGATAAAGTGCTAATTGACAGAGCTTGGAAAGCCCACCCCGCTTCCCCTCCTTAGTCTAGATCTAAGCTTTTCTTTACCTTCAAAGAAGACACAAGCTATTAAGGAGATACATTAATGGAAGACTGTTACCTGAATGTCAAATTGTCTAGCTTCATTCTCTCCTCTACTTGATGTAAAACCATTGTAGAATCTAGGTACTCATTTGTAAAGTGACTGCTTTTTTAGTTAGGTCAATAAGTTATTGAGGAATGGGACAACTCCTTACTTTGTTTACCTAAAACTTAGGTGACTTTTCCTTCCATAGTGTGGTAGTGTCATAAGTATTTGTTGACAAGTGTTTCCAGCTAAATATGGAGACCAGCTACTAGGTGTTATAAGACTTACTCAACTTCAGACCCTAGGGTGTCTTTATTTTACATGTAAGATGAATAATGTCTCAAGTGTAAAGCTTTTATTACAAATTTCTGGCTGTAAATAGTTTTTAATTATGCTCTAAACATTTTTGGTGCTACAGCCCATTATAAGACTGAGAGCAATTGAATAATGCAATTTTGAGTTACTGTAAACTGAATTTATACTTTACCAGTTACAAGTGAATCTGAGCTGCAAATACCCATTTATGTTTTATAAAGCTAATATTTTTCTTGTCCTTCCATCTGAATTTTTTTGTCCCTTTCCCTCTCTTCCCTTTTTAGTGAGAGAGAAGAGGAAGAGTAACCATATCAACCATGTAAGTAAGACAGACTATTAAATATAAATGCTCCTTGTTCTTTTTTCATTGTTCCTTAAGCAGTTCAGGTCTAGAAAGAGGTCTTTAAAATTTTACCCCCCTCTCTCACATATTGGTATGTGAAAGATCTATGCCTGCAGGTATGATAGAGCAGAACAATGTCACAAGCACAACATTGACACTTTTTTTGCACTTATCTAGTGTGGTAATTATAATAACCAGTTGCAGGGGGGGAAGGTTGAGACAAATGTGACTTAATAACTTGAAATTAGAAATAAAATCAGGTAAATTTTAAAAAATTTTGGTGACTAGATTTAAAACTTGAGTCAGTAAATACTTCTTGTTTAGTGTTGCTATATGAAGGCATTTTTTTAATACTACTAGTCTTCAGTGAAGTGCCTTTCTTAAATGCAATTTTTTTGTTAAAAGGAAGTAAAATTTGACCTGAGGTGGTCAACTAGCAGAAATTATTCTATATTGTAAAAACATACAAATATGCAAACTTAGAATTTTTTCATCTTGAATGTATGATTGCATTACTGTAAGAGCAAATCTTTTTTAGTTTCATAGTTTCTAGGGTTGGAAGGGACCTGAGCAGATCATCTAGTCCGAGCCCGTGCCATGGCAGGAAATAGTACTGGGGTCAAACAACCCCAGCAAGATGTTCGTCTAACCTCCTCTTAAAAACCCCCAGGGTAGGAGCCTGTACCACTTCTCTTGGAAGTTGGTTCCAGATCCTAGCTGCCCTGACAGAGAAGTAGCACCTCCTGATGTCTAGTCTGAATCTACCCTCTGCCCGCTTGTGACCGTTATTCCTGGTCACTCCTGG